GTCCTAGGCAGTTTGGTATTGAAAATGAGCAGAATCGGTTTAACGCGGGAAAAGTTATGAATCAAAATTTGAAACAACCTCGAAAAAAATAAGCATTTTTTACACATTCTGATATAAGTTTCTCGAAAACTATGCAAGGTAATTCCATGAAAATCACCATACATTCGTTTCTACATAAGAGCTTGATCCCTGCTGAAAATTGTTAGAATCGGTCCACAATTTCATATACCTCCCATACAAAAGTACATATTCCCGGAAAATGGGTTTTTTGTTAATAACTTCCGTCAGAATGTAGATATCTTCACAAAATTTCACAAATTAAAATCTTATGTCAATAGAAATCATTCAGAGAAAAAATTTTCTCCCATACAAGGTCCCCTCCCGAAAATCACTTAAACGCGCATAGCTCATTACTTAATTAAGATATCCATATAAAATTTGCTATAAGTATTGCCCATATGCACAGAAATATTACTGTGAAAGTTTCTTGCGATCGGTCCATAATTGGTCATAGCTCCCATACAAGGTCCCCTCCCGAAAATCACTTAAACGCGCATAGCTCATTACTTAATTAAGATATCCATATAAAATTTGCTATAAGTATTGCCTATATGCACAGAAATATTACTGTGAAAGTTTCTTGCGATCGGTCCATAATTGGTCATAGCTCCCATACAAGGTCCCCTCCCGAAAATCACTTAAACGCACATAACTCATTACTAAATTAAGATATCCATATAAAATTTGGTATAAGTACTACTCATATGCACAGAAATATTATTGTGAAATTTTTTCCCGATCGGTCCATAATTGGTCATAGCTGCCATACAACGTCCCCTCCCGAAAATCACTTAAACGCGCATAACTCATTACTTATTTAAGATATCCATATAAAATTTGGTATAAGTATTGCCCATATGCACAGAAATATTACTTTGGAAGTTATTTCCGATCGGTCCATAATTGGTCATAGCTCTCATACAAGGTCCCCTCCCGAAAATCACTTAAACGCGCATAACTCATTACTAAATTAAGATATCCATACAAAATTTGGTATAGGTACTACTCATACGCACAGAAATATTACTGTGAAAGTTTTTTACGATCGGTCCATAATTGGTCATAGCTCCCATACAAGGTCCCCTTCCGAAAATCACTTAAACGCGCATAACTCATTACTAATTTAAGATATCCATATAAAATTTGGTATAAGTATTGCCCATATGCATAGAAATATTACTGTGAAAGTTATTTCCGATCGGTCCATAATTGGTCATAGCTCTCATACAAGGTCCCCTCCCGAAAATCACTTAAACGCGCATAACTCATTACTAAATTAAGATATCCATATAAAACTTGGTACAAATATTACTAAAATGCTCAGAAATATTACTGAGAAATTTTTTTCCGATCGGTCTATAACTGGTTATAGCTCCCATACAAGGTACCCTCCCGAAAATCACTTAAACTCGCATAACTCATTACTTAATTAAGATATCCATACAAAATTTGGTACAAGTATTGCCTATATGCACAGAAATATTGCTGAGAAATTTTCGCTACATAACTGGTCATAGCTCCCATACAAGGTCCCTTCCCGAAAATCAGTTAAACGCACATAACTCATTACTAAATAGAGATATCCATATAAAGTTTGGCAGAAGTATTGCTCATATACAGAGAAATATTACTGTGAAATTGTTTCCTATCGGTTCATAATTGATCATAGCAGCTATACAAGGTCCCTTTCAGAAAAACACTTAAAGGCACATAACTCATTACCAAATAATGATATAAATAAATACTATTTTTACAATGTTCCCTCCCGAAAATCACTTAAAAAAACATAACTCATTACCAAATCTTGATATCCATACATTTAGCAAAAATATTGCGCTTATATACATAAATTACACTATAAAATTGTTTTACGATCGGTCCCCTCCAGAAAATCACTTAAATGCACAATATTAATTACCAAATAATTATATAGATACAGAATTTTGAAATTTTGTCTTTATATACATAATTGGTCATAGCTCCCATACAAGGTCCTTTTACGAAAATCTCTTAAACGCACATTACTCATTACCAAATAAAGCTATACTAAAATACGATATAGATACAAAGTTTGACTGAAATATAGCTTTTATGTACAGAAATTTTACTTAAAGAATTTTTTACGATCGGTCTATAATTGATCTTATCTCCCATACTAGGAACTGCCCCTAAAAGCGCTTTAACCTTATTTAACTATTTGCATTATCAATTTGTGTAGAACAAAATTATATATATGTATGTATTTTGAAAATTCTTAAATCTTTCACACACATGCATACATGCAAATTATTAAATATTGCTAAGCGCTATTAAAATATTAAAGAAAATGGCGTTTGTAATGTTCAATAAATCTTGGAATTGTAATAGATCTAAGCTGTTTAAATCTTTGGATTTTTCTATTTAAGACTTGAGAAGACTTATTTCTACAAATATTTGATCAATTAGAAAAGTATTAATATAAAAGTAGCTGGTGGAGGGTATTTAAGATTCGGCTCAGCCGAATATAGCACTCTAACTTGTTAATTTATAAAATTGTCTTTTTCCAACCACTTTCGGCATATTATTTAACAACAACAAAACATAAACACAAAACAACACAAACTGTACATGGACAAAAGCAGAAGTATTAAAAAACAGAAACAAGAAAAACCAAAAGCAAATAATTGAAAATATTTCGTACAAAAAATTATTTAAATTCTGTTCATACACTATAATAAACACACACTTTAATAAATTTTAAAAAAGATATTTCTTACATTGAAAATGTATTAATTAATTAAAATCAATTTAAAGATTTATATTTATAATAAAATTTTTATATTTTCTATATAAGAATTTTTTTTACACTTTTGTTCACGTCTTATCTGCACAAATGCAACTCGATGGCTAAACATTTTATATTATGTAATTTAAAATGTGTTTTTTTGTCGGAAAAGTTTCGGTAAAACTGCCGATTTCAATAGTCTTTGCAATACAACCTGCTTCTCTGTAAGGGATAGTAGTAAGCTTTTAATTTTTTTCAGCTTACATTATAAAATTACTCCTATCATTGGTATTCTCTTATTTCCTGCTTCTCAGTAAGGCTTAATAGTAAGCGAATACAGATGCAGTTAGGTCCCTTTTTAGCTTCCTAAAGTCTAAAATTTTTTTACTGGGATGTGATGTTTATTTTATATTTTATACATGGAAACAATTTTTACTTACATTTTTTTAAATCTGCAAAACTTCTATTTATTTCCAATTTTTTATTTTATTTGTAAATTTTGTTCTTTTTTATTTCTTTATTATTATAGTACTAAATATTTTTAAATGTCAAGTAAACTAACCATTTGTATATTGAATTCGATTGGAAATACCGAATTAGATTTTATTGTAATAAATATCGATTTTTTCGGTTGGAAATACCGAATTATTCTCTATTTTATTAATATTACCTAACTTTCTATACTTTTAATTGAAGTATGTGGGCACCACAACTAAAAACAAATGTTTGGCATTAATAAAAAGATGTAAACAAAATTGTGATTACAAGTACTGATATTTACAGTTGAAGCAAATAATTGCATATTTAATTCGGTCTTGCTAAATGACATAATTATAATAACCGTTTATAAAGCTCAAGATGGTTAGATTAACTGAATGTATAGTTAGGAGAATCTTAGTTCGATTACAGTTTTTTTTTTTCAGTTGTAATAATATGTTGAAAGTATTTTTTTTTTAATAACTACAACTAATATTCTTTTATAGTAAATAAATAATTGCAACTGTGACCGATTTCCAATCAATCATTTTTCTGTGTGTATATATGTATGTATGTGCACCTAAAAGTATTAATGAAATTATTATAAGGATTTCTGAATGTCCAAAGTCTTGTGACTCTTGTTTATAAAGGATGGCTCTGTAAGTTATGAACTAAGAGTACATTTTTGAAATTTATAAAAAAAACTCTGGTAAATTTCAAAGCACTTTTTTTAATTTTTAAAAATTTAAATGTTCATAAAGTTGAGAGATAATAAGCTAGTGGTCTGAAATTATGGACATACATGTGTTTTGGTACATGTATCAAAACATTTACTTATTTTAAAAGATTAACGTAAATACGAGGCATTTTAATTCAGTTTCATCGATTCTTAAAAATATTTGATTTTGCTCATATACCCTCTAACACCACTGATGGGATGGTGGTGGAGGGTATAAAAACAAAAACTTGTATTTTTAAATCCCCATAATTTATATTAATCAATAAATAAAACATTTTCAGGTTCATATTTATAAAAATTGTATTAATTTTTTGCATCAGCTGTTTACGCTTTTGCATTTTTTGGGCAAGTTTAAACCAACTCCATTGGGCGCTTAAACTAGCAAACAAAATTAACTAACTGAGTACTCAAAAACAACTTTCGAGGATTATTTTAATCGCTAATCGTTGACCTTAAGATTTAAATTAATAAAAGTTCTATATAACAAAAATAGTGTTATAAATACAATTTTTTGTAAAACATTTAATAAAGCATTTATTAAACTATTCAAACCGATTATGAATAATACCGTAGAAATCTAATATTAATAAAGTTACCCTTTAACATTGTAATTTTGGGTTATTTTGTAAACATGCTAAGTTTTAATTTTTGATAAACATATACCATGTCCTTGCGGAGTTTATAAAGTGGATAATTTAGGTGTTACATTCCCTTTTACATATCGCTCATTTACTTCAAGACTGGCAAAAACCAAAATTCGGGTTTTTTTTTAAATTTCACTAAACACTTAAAGCTCTTTTTTCTCGAAATGGCTTCTTTTGGATTATGCCAGCCTTATAGTAAATGAACGATATGATACAAATAATGAAGAACTAGCTTACATTTTGTGAAATCAGCTAATGCGTATAAAATTAACTCACAAAATATTAAACACCACACTTTCAATTATTTTATTTGTAGGCTGCAAATGGTGTATATGGATTGCAACCTGGTTTTGATGCTGTTTTGGGAAGAATGGAGATTAGCTCGAGAGCTTCTAATTCAGACCACGTTCCATTTGAACAAAGTATTGAAATTCAGAAATTACGGCCGGGTTCAGGGCATCTTGAAGTAGTTAATAAAATGGATGGGCCAATAAAATCCATACAAATTCACGATGTAAAATTAAATTCGGATGAAATAATACTTGCTCCAGATCCAATGTGGAATCATGCATCTGTTTTTAATAAAGGATTAACGAACAACAAAAATCTTCCCATTCTGGATGAACTAATGGTAAGACTTTGCAATTATGTTTATGTATCATATATATATGGGGGATTATCAAAAACGTTTAATTCCTTTGGAATTTAATACCTTATAACTTCTATAATAATGAACTCTCGTAAAAAGTTGGAATTCTCAATTTCTCCATTATTTTAACTTTTTTGATCTTGGTTTTAGATTTCTGAGAATTTTTGTTATTGTACTTAGTAACTACAATTAGGAGATCAATCCTTTACCAACTTTTCGGCATTTCATAACATTACGTGTTGATACTCGGGTGTCGAAATTTGCCCCACCATATCTTAAATTTTTAATTTTTAACAGTTTTTTTGACATGGGTTTAATATTATTTAAAAATTAAAACTATTGTAGTTATATATCGTAATTCTGCACAGTTTGAGGTATAAAGAGTAAGTGCGCATAACAGTTACAAAAGTATGTAGTAAAACGTAAGAGAAATTTTTTTAAAATATCAGTTTTTCTCTCGGCACATCCTCACTCATAAATAAAATATAGCAAAAAATTATTGCTTGAAATGAGCTTTTTGTTACTTTCGTGGTTTTTATACATACATTTATATATTTACATTTATACTTTCGTATATTATACCTTTGTAGATCAAAGGCTTTAAAAAATGTAAATATATACATAGGTCTAAGGGTGATAATGCATGCAATGGTTTGCTATGACAGAATTGTTCAAAAATACAACGACATTTGAAAGCGCAACATTTTTATCTAAACACATTTTGCTAAGGCACATCACTGATGTTCTACTAAATTTTCAAAATTAGCTTCATTTGAAAGTTGTATTAATGATTTAATGTAAAACTGTAAAACTGGTGGACAAGTAAGAGTGCTATATTCGGCTGTGCCGAATCTTATATACCCTTCACCACAGTGTATTTAAAAAATATCAATTCTATAAAATTTTAATTTATTTCATTTTTCCTTTTATATCATTATTATAGCAATAGCAAAACGAACAACAACAACGCTAAACGAAATAAACACACAAAAAAACAAAATACACAAGGCAGTAAAACCAACAGACATCCAAACATATGAAACGAAATACACAAAAAAACAAAAACAAAATACGCAACGCAACGAAACCAACAGACATCCAAACATACGAAACTGAATACACCAAAACACAAAAACAATATACACGAGGCAATGAAACGCACAGCCATCTAAACATATAAAACGAAATGTTCAATGAATAAGCAGTGTTCTTGTTGTTGCTTATATCAAAGCTTGAAAAAAATTGACTTTTTTTATTAAATTTTCAGAGGTTGTCTCGGATTTTTGCTCATATCTCCGGTATTTATGGACCGATTTTGCTGATTTTAAATAGCGATCTTCTCGAAAGCATGTCTAACAGAATTTTTGAAGATTCGAATCTCGCCGATATCTGGGGTCGTCTAAAAACTGATTTCAACAAACACACAGACGGACAGACAGACGGACAACTCCGCTACCTATAAGGATCCAGAATATATATACTTTATGGGGTCGGAAAATTATATTATAGAAATTACAAACGGAATGACAAACTTATATATACCCTTCTCACGAAGGTGAAGGGTATAATAAAAGCATTGCATGTTTTATGGGCCAAATTAAATTTAATTAGCTTTAAAATGTATCACTATGTAAATACTTAGTTTATTGTAATTTCACCGTTTTTACTGCATTTCCTAATAAAATTATTATATAATTAATAAAAATAATAAAATTATTATATACTGCAAAAAATTATTATATAAACAAGTAGGAAAGTATAGTTGGCCATCGCCGACTATATGATACCCTATACCATGAGTATATTTAAAAAATTATTTATTTTTTATAAATAAACTTTTATGTTGAATTTTACCTAAATTCCGACGTATTTAAGCAATTTATTGATGAAAAACAAAAATTCTAAAAGAGGCTTTATATGGGAGTCAGGATCAAATATGGGCCGATCCTCAATTAATTAGGAGGAGGGATGTATTTTTATATAAAGTTTAGTTATGTTGAATTTTATCGCTATACTAATGGTTATAAGTAAATTTTTGGACGTTTAAGTTATTTTTTAGAGGGGGGTTTGTATGGGGGCTAGGGTCAAACGACGGCCGATCATTATAATAATCGGCATGGTCATGTATGACTATATAAAACTTAGTTATGCCAATTTTTGGTAATATATTTTACTTAGTCACGTATGGTCCAAATTTTATAAAAATGTCTTGAATATTGTGACCTGTAGCTTGTACGCAAGGTTTACATGGACAGCCAGGACAGACGGACATGTCTTAATCGACTCAGAAAGTGATTCTTTAAACCGCTATAACTTGATAAAAATCATTAACACGAACGGAATTATTACGTAAATGGATCGCTTTACAATTGCACCAAATATTTTGAATGTGCCATTAAATTTTATTTTTTTAACTCAAAAATCAAAAGTTTTTGAGAATTCCCCATATATATGGGAAATTCTTTTTTTGTTTTAAATTTTAAGAATTCAACTTTATGCATTAAATATTTCTTTCGTTTAATATCTTGAAAATTAAGTGACGATGAATTTTTGTTCAAAAGACTTGAAAGAATAAGTCCATAAAATTTTGTGGTCAAGAGTAGTTCCATGTTGTAGAAACAAACACTTAAAGCAAAAATTTTTCAAAAAACTGATTGGAACCTACTATTTTTTTTACAACTTTTGAATATTATGAGGACCGCTAACAAATGGAAAAGTCATTTTTACTAATTTAGGCTGTATACGCTTGTTGGATGATTATAGACCATATTTATTTGTTGTGCCAATTATAAGTAAAGAATTACGTGGTCGCAAAGTTTTGAAACCAAATTCATACAATTTTACAAAATTTGCACTTTCTGGATAGAATATTTGCGGCTCTTCGGTTATGGAAAATTTTGAAATAAATGATGAAACAGAACTGGGGCTTCATAATGTTTTCCATACAATTTGACGTAAAATTAATTCGTCGAATACGGTTGCATTTACTTTATTTTGAGAGCGTTTATTTTTATGCTCACATTTTTAGATACTCATTCTCTCAAAATATTTTCATACATTTTATAAACAAAATTATGCACATATCTTTCATTTTACCCAAGGACGAAATTGTTTGAAAATGGATTAAATCGGTCCAATATTCCCCTAGCCCTCATACAACAGCATTCCCCGAATAGGGCTTTGGAGCTCTTAATTATGGCTTCAAGGTCGTTAATTCCCTCTTAAACACTATCATTATGATGAAATTCTGTATGTCTAACTCTTATATGAACAAATATCCCTCTACCAAATTTTGATAGGATCGGTCCATAATTGATCCTATCTCTTTCAGAAAATCAGTTTTTAATCAATTAATTACTTAAATAGTATATTGAAATTAAGACAAAATTCAATATAAATGCTATATTAAAAAATAAATCACATTTTAGATATGCTCATATCTGGTATCATATGGTGGTTCATTCCCGACTATTCTTTTTTATTAGTTTTATTTATATCAAGAACTTTTTTAAAAATATGTAACTATTAAGAAGAATGGTAACCCAGCAAAAACTGGGTAATAGCTTTCAATTGTAATTACTTACCTAACAACATACTTTTCAATGACTACTACATATCGCCTGGATTACATAGAAGTGGTCTAATAAGGTCTTACTAATAATGTATTATATAAATACTTTCTAATTCATTAGTCATCTTGCCAGTAAAGATATAGAAGCTGTACACGTTTTTTCATGCGATTTACAATGACTACTTTTTCTAATTACTTGTAATCGTTTGTGGTAAGTACTTGCCTCCAATGACATCACCGTGTTAAAATAATGACTTAAAATGCTATTGTGTAAGTAAATTTTAGCATTTTAACCCCTTACATGGTAATGAAAGTTTTTACTGGGAAATTTATCATAAAATAAATTTATCACATTTTATAAAAATTAGTATAAAATTTTTTCAGAATTGTTTAAAAAATAAAAAAAACATTTTTATAAATCTTAACATAATACTTTAATTATACCCTACACCAATATAGTGGGAAGGGTATTATTTTTCATCGATTTTAATAAAATAAAATGTTTAGTTTTTATGTACCCAAGTGATTTTGTTATTAATTAATAGAATTAAATGCTGAATAAAATGATCTTTCTTTTGTTAAGATAGGGGGTAGGATGCAATTTTTGTGTTGCAAATTAATTTGAAAAAAAAAATTATTTTCGACCATATCCCTATCAAATTAATTGTTTGTAGTTAGAACTATACAGGTATTTTGAAATACCTTTAAAATAGCTCTTTTGCATAAAAGTGAGCATTTTAAAAGCTAATATTTCATATAATTAAATGTACTTTATTCCAGTATAGCCACAATTTTAGATTTTGGGGAAGGATCCGAGATATCAGAAGTCGCGCATAGAATATGACGTCGAATTAAAAAATTGTCTAAGAGTGAAATATAGCTTCAGTCAAGCCATACATATTGATAAAGATATGTTACGATCGGACTTAAAATGGCGTGGCAAAAAAATATTTTTTATATTTTTGGAAATGTTATTAACATATCTTTAATCGTAGGGGGTGACTGATTCCACTTTTTTTCGATCCACCCTAATGGGCATTAGGGTGAAGCGGGCATGGCACTTTCCATAAAAACTCATAATTTTATTTTCTTAAATTATGAAATTTTGACGGAATTATACATTTAAAAGTCCCTTGAACCTATTTTGATAATTTTTGGAGTGAAGTCTTCATTTGCGCATGCATTAAAACAAAATGAAAAACTTGAAAATTTTCAATACATCTAAATACAATTTGTTAAAAATTGCCCTTTTTATGTACTAAGGAGACCTCTTCCTAAAATACTACATATTATGTTTTTAATATAAATCTTTTTGCCTTCCATTTCGACATTCTGCACATTTTACAAAGCTCTCCCTGATGTAATCTATATTTGCATCTAGAAAACGTATTTGCAGGTATTAGGAGCAAAT